GTAAGCAAGACTTTAATAACCATATCATTAATTCTCTTGATGAAGTCGCATGCTTGGTATACTGGTTCACTCTTCCTAGTAACCAATGAAGGCTGGATCGATATACATTATACCAGTGACTTTGTTCACTTCTCAGACCAACAAATCTTTGTAAACGGTTTAAGAACCATTAAAAGTCTGTAGCTTGTAGTCTTATCACTGACCAGTGACTAGTGGATCTATATCCATTATATCACTGACCAGTGACTAGTGGATCTATATCCATTATATCACTGACCAGTGACTGGTGGATCTATATCCATTATATTACTGACCAGTGACTAGTGGAGCTATATCCATTATATCACTGACCAGTGGATCTATACCCATTTTATCACTGACCAGTGACTAGTGGATCTATAGCCATCATATCACTGACCAATGACTAGTGGATCTATATCCATTATATCACTGATCAGTGACTAGTGGATCTATAGCGATCATATCACTGACCAGTGACTAGTGGATCTATATCCATTATATCACTGACCAGTGACTAGTGGATCTATATCCATTATATCACTGACCAGTGACCAGTGGATCTATATCCATTATATCGCTGACCAGTGGATCTATATCCATTATATCGCTGACCAGTGGATCTATATCCATTATATCACTGACCAGTGGATCTATATCCATTATATCACTGACCAGTGGATCTATATCTATTATATCACTGACCAGTGACTGGTGGATCTATATCCATTACATCAAACTCTTTCACTCCACAGACCGACAATATATTCGTAAGAAGCTTACGGACTGTTAGGAGTATGTACAGATCTATAGTATTGTTTTACTAATTTAACTTCATTAAGAAGCTTTGAAGTGAAAGTTATGCTATTTTATCATGAACTAAGAAGCAAATAGCTCTTTTCTCCTATTCTTAACACGTGTACAAATGATAGATGTCACGAAAATGAATTTTTTCAATACTTGCTTTTCGTTCTTTCTCTCTCTCTTTTTCTGGTGGGACAGCGGTAAGTCTACGGATTTACAACGCTAAAATCGGTAGCTCGATTCCCATCAATGGACACAGCAGATAGCCAGGTGTGGCTTTGCTATAAAAAACACATACACATGCTATTTATTTTTATCACTGGAAGTTTCTTACTATTGATAAAAACACGTCCACTAACCAGCGGTTACAAATGGGAACCCATTCATTATCATCTATAACATTTTGCATGTTGACACAGTAGAAGGAAAAACAAAATCTAGCATTAAATGTAATTAGATAGTTAAAATACTTCCAGCCTTTTTCTTTTATGTATCTTCGATATTTCACATATACTGTGTTTACTATAGTCAAGTTAATATTGTACTGTTCTCGTCTTAGCGTATAACAGCGTTAAGAATTGGACTGGTCAAAATTACCAAACATTTAACAGTCTATTTTTACACATACTCAAAAGGATATCAAATACTGTTGTAAGTATTATTATAGCCAATTTGTAAGTATAATGAAAAAGGAAGTCTGATTTTCCACATTGATGTATTTACTGAACTCGAAAATTAGTCTTTAAACATTACTAATAACTGAAACAGAAACCTGTTGCTAAAAGGCCTGTAACGTGGAGTTTTTATAAATCTGTTGCTAAAAGGTCTGTAACGTGGAGTTTTTATAAATCTGTTGCATTTATAAAAACTCCACGTTACAAACCCTTTAGCAACAGATTTATAAACCAACAATAAAGAGTCTGTAACGTGGACTAATTTATAAAAACTCCACGTTACAAACCCTTTAGCAACAGATTTATAAACTGTTGCTAAAGAGTCTGTAACGTGTACTATTTATAAATCTGTTGCTAAAGGGTATATAACGTGTTACTAAAGGGTGCATAAAATTATCATATACATATACAAAACTCTGTCACACATTTGTTTTTACTAAAAAAAAGCTATCGTGGTCAACAGGAACAGCAAATGTAGTGGGATTTGACTGTCATTTTTATAACGCACTTACGGTCCTATAGTTGGGAGCCCAAATATGCGGCAACGGGACGCGAACCATGAAACCTCTGATTCACAGTTCGTCAAGCTTACAACTGGGTTATGATCGGCCCCTTTTGTCTGACTTCTATTAAAGTTTCAACGGGTATTGTGTGGCGACCTTTATGAGCTGCATCAGTATCCGATCCTCATTATTAAAATTTTTTTTATGAGTTTCCGATAAGTCTCAATGCTGCATGGTTCTATTTGTTCAACACTTTCACGTTAACGTTTGAGGAACGAATTCTAAATGTACAAATAATCCTGGCATGTTTGATGTAGGTTGTATACATTTCACGATCAGCACCCCTGGTGACACTTATTTTTGGCAATTAACTAATCTTCCCATCGTCTCAGTAGTTTACCTATCAAATTATGAATTCTAGGGGTATGGTCGTTAGAATAGGTTTACTAAATTCGTAATAACCTTGTACGTTTTATATTTAGGATATGTAATACTTAATTGTGATGTCTCTTGGTGTTTCTAACAGGAGGATACTGAATTATGGTTAAATGACCACTTATGAAATCGACGCGATCTCAGATCACAGCAGGAGAAGTTTTTTTTTTATTCTCTCGAAATAATATCACTGAGGATTAATTAAATACATTATCGTACAGTGTAGGTATCATTTTCTGAAATCCTAAATAACTGTCAGTATTATTGTGTTTCTGAATAGAAGTTTATGAAGCTGATGGTGAGAGTTAACTTTGTAAAGGTCTGGCTTAGCTTTGTGGATAGAATGCTCAATCTGTAAGTTGCGGGATCGAAATACGGCGCCGAACATACTTGCCCTTTCGCTGTGGGTCGAGTTATAACGTGAGTCAATTCATTGGTACAAGACTAGCTCAAGAGATGGCGGTGGGTGCAGCCCGCCCATTACATTTCTTCTGGTCGGCAGCTCAGAATTAGGGATGGCAGCAGTTAGCAAATCGTAAAAAGTAAAAAAAAAAAAAAAAAAAAGAGAGAGAGTTCGATACGAGTCACAAAAAATGATACAACCTACCGCAGTTCAGAACGATAAGTAATTTTAAATTATAACTTTGGCGTCTTCACAGTTGAACTGGTGCATATTTTACAGAATTAATAAATTATAAGGAAAGGAAGAAAGCTTCTGTGATTTTATCAGTCATGGGAGTTCATCGCACTTTACAAACGATATTCTGTCTTCTGTACTGTTCTCTAAATCACTTCCTCTAGCGTACATAGCGCACACGATTTTGCAGTATTACTCAACACCGTAATTGCCACTGTACAGACTTTTGTAAAGGAGAGCGAAGTTGGTCTTAGATCACCATTTCCCCACTACACGTTAACGCTGGCTTCAAAGCCATTGCGGACTAAAAGCACAAAACAACATTGGTTGAATGGAATTATTCTGATTTCAGTTTCTTTTGGTCAATCTTCTTACGAAAGTAATCCCTTGACTTCGAGTTGTGGCTAGAAGCTTTTGAGCCTTTGCCATCTTCCCGTACTTTTATATTGTTAATGGAAATATGCCCAGCTTCACCGCAACCACTTTTTGGGTCGGATTGCTCTGTTTCGTAACTATAACCCTCACTTCTCGGATTATGACGTTACTCACAACCCCCCCCCAGTGGCACAGCAGTATGTCTGTGGACTTACAACGCTAGAAACCGGATTTCGATACCCGTGGTGGGCAGAGCACAGATAGCCATTTGTGTAGTTTTGTGCGTAATCTCAAACACAAATGCCCACAATTGGTAACGATTGCAGCATTGAAAGCTGTTGTTGTTGTAAATGCTTTGCTGTGCTAGTTTTCCGCTTTTTTTTAGGAAAACATTGAAAGCTCCTTTCTTCGAAATGTTGTATGAATTGGGTTTACATCGCTTAATAGTGTCGCTGTCTGAATATTTCTCTTCATTATAGTATCCGTGACGGCGGTGCATTGTTGAATGGTTTAGAATTTGTCGCGACCCAAATGCATGGGTGCTACCGCTTTACAAATATGGCCAGGTGGTTAGGCGCTCGACTTGATTTGAGTGTCGCGGGTTCGAATTTCCGTCACCGAACATTCTCGCCCTTTCAGCCATGAGGGCGTTATAAAGTGATGGACAATCCCACTATTTCTTGGTAAAAGAGTAGCCCAAGAGTTGGGGATATATGATGTTGACTATTTGCCTTCTCTCTAGCCTGTCACTACTAAATCAGGGACGGCTAGCGCAGATAGCCCTCGTGTAGCTTTGCGCAAGATACAAAACAAACCAATACAAAATCATTGCCGCTAGAAAGAAAGTAAAAAAAAAGAAAAAAGAGAGAGAACAAATAAAAAAATCACGCCGTGATCTTTAGGGCCTGTGGGTGCATCAAATCCCACTATCCATTCAGAGCATCCCAAAAGCTGGCTGTGTGGCCCTGTTCACTAACTGTCTTCCCTATAGTTTATCAGTTCAAAATTAGGTATGGGTAGCACAGATAGCCATTGTTTAGCTTTGCTCGAATATCTGAAATAATCAAACAAACTCGTTACTTTGACTTGTAGTAACAGAAATTGTGGTTGACCTGAACGACAAGATTCTTGATTATGTTCTTAATCCACAGCAGCATAACTATAACTTTGGTGTGTTTGTTTTTGATGTATAATAGTCCTTTATTCACCAGCAACGCTGATGTGCCATGGATTCCGCGAAACTGCAGCAAAGTCGGGTTTTTACAAGTAATTCCTTGAGAATTCTTTGCGAATAGGCTTGCATCCTAGCAAACTGTAGTATGTTGTATCAATTATTGTTTTCCCACTGCTTTTACACATATTTTTTCCTTAGTTGTTTTGTCCTCCGGTGGGACAGCGGTATGTCTACGGATTTACAACGATAAAATCCGTGGTCCGATTCCGCTCGGTGGACACAGTAGATAGCCCAAAGTGGCTTTGCTCTAAAATAAACAAGCAAACCTTAGTTATTTTCTCTGTGAAAAGTAATTTAACCATGAAATTATTTCCCCTCAGCCAAGACCTCCTGGCTGTATGTCGGCAGCTGAACCTGGAACACTGCATAGAGGAGATTATGGAACAGTTAGGAGCCGATGAACATGGTATGATCTCTTACAGTGAGTTTCTTCGTAGACGAATGCAGTTAATCAATGAGATAAATGCCCTTACCGTACAGGAACAGGAACAGGAACCTGTTCCTCACGTAGGTGAAACGGACTCGCATCAACCAAACTCCCAGCAAGTCTCTCCAGCTCCAGGTAGCAGTAGCACAGGCATCTGGCCTACGAGTAGTGATACCAGTCAAGGTAAGTGTTTTTACAAGTCGATACACCTATTTTGCCTTCTATCTGTGTTTGTTACTTAACAAGATTCATTTCTCTGATAACATTTTCAATTTAAGTTAACATTCTAAGTTTAGAAAGAATTGAAGGTATATTTAATTTACAGTTTAAAACCCAGCATAAGGTAGTTTATGAGCAAAGAAATATTTTTCTATTAAGGAGCAGCTTCTGGAAAACACGATAGTTGGGAGTTCGATTCGGGAGCTCGAGACTTGAGTCCGGAACTAAACACTTTACAGAAACTGATTGAAAAATCAGGGGGTTCAGTACCTGGCAACAGCAGTGATCTCTTGGAACTAGCCAACAAGGTAATGAATCATTATCTGTTTCACACATCGCATTAATTTGTTACAAATTTGTTTTCTTGTGTATAATAGTTGTTGTGACTTACCAAGTGTGCATGCATGACGTATGAACTCTCTCTTCACTTAATCATTAAAAAGTTTTTCGTTTTTAACTGAGAAAAAAATATAATTATAATAGAAATGTATTCAATACAATCTTATGAAATTTGTGTTTTTAAAGCAAATCAATGAAAAATAAACTTAAGATGCAAAAGTGAAATGAAACCGTTTAATTTCTGCGTTAAAGCCTTCCAGTGGCACAGCGGTATGTCTGCGGACTTACAACGCTAGAAACCGGGTTTCGATACCCGTGGTGGGCAGAGCACAGATAGCCCTTGTGTAGCTTTGTGCATAATTAAAAACAAACAAACAAACAATCTGCGTTAAAATTGCTTCACATCATAAATGTATTTGTTTTTCTTTTGTAAGACACTTAAAATTAAGAAGCATTTTATAAACACGAATTAAATTTCATACGTAATTTAGAATACAAAATAAATTAATAATATCTAACTGAGAAAGGATTACCACTATGTAGATCGACCTTTTGTTATCATTAAGTCTAAAGAAACAATAATGAACAATATAAAAACTTATGTTTTATGTAGACTGTAGTACTTCCATAATTAATTCAGTTATGTAGACGAACTTCTTAGCTCTGATATATCATATATGTAATGAACCAAATTCTGTAGAGTTTGTTTTCCTTAGTTTACGCCCAATCAAAATAATAATTGAATTAAAATGGTTATATATTGTGACGGAAATATGTGCCAGTTATGAATAATTATGAAAAAACGTTATGATTAAAAGAAAATGGATATAATGGTTATGTAATTGCGAAAGGGTTAGAGCTCAATAGGCAGATGATTAATATTTTCCAAGTTATAGTCCCCATAAACAGTCATCTTGGATAATATAACAAACCTATCCACATTTACTGTTAATGTAATCAGTTTGAAGTGTTAGGGGTTTTTAAAAACCTGTTGTAGATGTAAATAGGATGTAAACATCTTGGACAACTATTTACCAACAACCATTTGAAAATGACTCTTGGTAGACTAGCCATATTAATCATTCCACCGTTGCCCAAAGCTTATTTCATTTATCACACTCTTTGTTCTCACATTCAGTCGATTGTTCTAGTAAGTTTTCTTGAAAGCTGGAGTAAGACCGAGAGTGAATCGTTTTTAGTAAACTTTCAATTAAAGCTATATTTACCCATCAATAGATGGCGCTAAAAGACAAGGCAAAGCAACATTTTTATACTTAATATTCATATGTTAAGTTAATTAAGCATATTTTATTTAATTACAGTTTTATGTATTGGAACATTTTTGTTCGTTAATTAACATGCCGTTTTTTGTATAAGAGAGTACTGATACAAAATACAAATGCAAGTTAATTTCAAAGTCGCGATGTGTGATACGAAATGTTAAGTTTTTTTCTTCTACAAATTATACATTTTACAACCATCTGAAAATGAACCATACATATCTGTTTAAAAACTGCTTTCCTTTTTAGTGAGAAAAGCTATATTTAATGAAGTATGTCAGGTTACCATTTCATAATCGCCATCTCCTTAATACAACTTGAACTTAAGAGAAAGCATTGATATTCGTGAGATAGAGTGGATTTTTTGGCAATAATTTTGTGATACTATGATTAAATACACTATGTCCTAATCTTCAATCACATGTGAATTTTGGCAGAGCTGATGTAATTAATCGTACAATTTCTTTTTGAGTTTTTGGTTGATTTTACTTCCAAAACTATGGTGGTTGACTCGCAAATGTTTTTCCAACAACTATATACGTAAATTATAACTTAGTTTAAAGAGAATAGAGAGGTTGAGGCCTTAATATCAAAACAATTTTGAACCTTTGCCTGACCTTACAGTCAATGTTGCCACGTTCGGTCATGCTTGATCTGATGGCCGTGCATCTTCACAATAGTCCTATAGCGTAGTTTTCATTATAAAAGGCTCCGTCATAGGGCTGTTATATGAAAAATACGTCACTGCTCCCTTGCATGTTTTCCATACTCGATCTATTGTACGAGGACGATGGTTTTCAACAGTCCGATTGCACAGAAATTAATAAGGCTGACGACTTTACCTATATGTCTTCTTATGGAATAATGGCATGAATACCTGTTTCATTCTCTAGTTGCTTGAGGTATACGGCTGTTGAACGGATATGCCTTGGAAGCAGTTCGTGTACTCGTGACTTGTGTCGCTCTTCCAGACAGGAAACAATTCTTGGTTATATATATTGAGCACTGTTGCATTTGGATGGCGTTTGCCACAGACCTATGCGTTCTTGGATTCTCACCCGTTACTTTGCCATGGTTTGACTTGTTGCAGGTCTTTTCCTGGATGGTCCTAGTGGCCAAAATCGATCAATCTTCGCTTGTTTCCAGTGCCATTAAGTACGAGGGTTACCCCTGTCTTGAAAATTCCAAATCCCCAATCAGAACACATCTTAATGATCTAAGTACACGAATATTTTGACTATTAAATATACTTCCCAAAAGCGATCGATTTTCGGTTTCATCGCAGTATTTACGTAACGCCAAACACTGTCGAAATGTAGTCCTGTTACGTAACGTTTCATCGTGACTTTATATTGACTGTGACTTGCTGGCTTGCCTATCCAAAACCATCTGTGTTTATTTGTAAACTTAGAACTGCCTGCACGTTTACATTCAACAATTGGTACTGCTACGAACGCATTAACAGTGTTCTTCTGAAGATCCAAATTTCACCATCTTGTATGTATGTGTGTAAAAAAATGCAGTGATTTATATTAACATAATTTTAATCTTTATTGTACGATTTTTCAAAGTCTGTGTAAATGTTTCGTAGAAACTTGACTATCGATACCCGGCAATAAGTAAACAACAGGTTCTTTGTTAATGTTATTTTTTCTTTCTAATGTCAATTAGAGGCGTGTTGACGTACGTGCTATATATGTGAATGAATCATGTAAAGTGAGCGTGTAGTTTACGAAAGGTTGTAGGAGTCACCGATTGCTTATTTTATATTAACTTCTTATGTTAAATTTAGTTTGAAATTTTTTATTGTTATTTTTGCGTTCTATAGATTTAATTGGAGTGTTTTTATAATGTAATTTTGATTTCTCAACTTTATTCTGATATTATGGATTTTCTTTTGTTTGTTACTACTGCGGCGAGGAATCAAAATGACATTCTTAAAACAACATTTAAATTCAGAATAATATAATAGCAATAAAAATCCAAATTAAGTTTCAAAAACAAGGTGGAAATAGTAAACACTACAAAATAAGACATCAGTGCCCCTACGAGCCTTCATGGCGTTTATACTAATTAAGTTCAAATGCTTTACTTGTAATATAAATATTTTGACTATTTATGAAATTTAGTTTTTATGTTTACGAAGTAAAATCGTATTTTCTAATCTCGTATTGCAAGTAGTCTCGTTTCTCCATTGGGCTTGTGATATAATATGTTTTGATGTTTATATTAAACTGTGGACCTATATAGATCGGTTAGCTCAGCGCCACGGCTCTGTGATATTGTTTCTAGAGGAAGTCTGTTGATAATAACATATTGTAGTTTCAACTTGTGTATATTTTATGTTAGCATAGTACTTGATGAAGTGGGCCAGAAAGAGGATGAATGTTTGGCCATACATTCTAAGAATATTGAGGATTAAAACAAAAAAAAAGCAACATCAACTAAAAAGTGTAATGAGGCGCAAAGGGTATGAAAACGAGGTGTGTGTGGTTCATGACGATTCAACTGTTCTATAAACTAATGGGGCGAAGCCTGTATGAGGACACGGGTCTAAAAAAAAACTAAAAATAACCATGGTCATATGGCCCGCATATTTCTTTATTTTCTTTCTATATAACCTGAACTTCTCCCCACCCTGGCTATATTTAGCGTATCCGTAAGAATTGACTACTAGTTTTTACATCGTTTCAAACGTCAGCTGGCGAGTCCGGGCACACGAGGTACTGATATCTCGGCTCCCATCATAAACTTACATAATAAGTGTTAACGTTTACTGGGTATCTCCTCACACAAGCTTTATAGTTCTAGTTATAATGACAAAAGGATTCTTATAAAGTTTTTACCACTAGATTATATAGTGAATTTGCAGTTCATAACAGCTGTTTATTTCAGTCATAACAATAAATAAATATATAAGGAAACATTAATTCAGTTCAGCAAGTATGATTGTTAAAGAATGTTAGCTATTTTCAGGCCTAATTAGAGATTATGTAGTCAAATTCTTTTGAAAAAATTGAATTGTTGAACTCAAAGTTAAGTACAAGCAGGCTTTTTTCGTTGTGTCTCACACTTTTAAAATTTCGAGAGAGCAAAAATATCAAGTGTGTGAGTAGTTTTGACGAAGAAAAAAAAGGGGAAGATGTTTCACTGAAATTTTAATGTGTTAATGTTTCCAACAGTTTCTATTTCACAGTGGAATTATATCACATCAAAATGAAAGTGTCACGCAGATGAGGTGTCTAATTTTAATTCTTGGGAATAGTGTATTCAAATTAATTCTTATATCTTGTATGTAGTCGCTGTGAAAGTATCGCAGATTCATTTAACGTCAAATCTTTATCATTTTGGTTTTGATTCATGCCCAGTATTAAATAACTGTTTGAGGTATATATTGTGAATGAAAAACTGATAACACGTGGTTATCTGAATGAAGTTACACAAGTGAAACTTTAATTATTAATATTTTGCTTTAAGTGGGAGTTCCTTTTCATTAATAATCCCAGTATTCAAGTACCATATTCACACCAGCACCAAAATACCAGTCGAAGACCTCCTTTTCCATACTCACACCAACATCCAAATACCAGTCGAATACTTCCTTTACCGTACACACACCAGCTTCCAAATACCAGCAAAGTATTATTTAACATACCCACACTATTATCGAAATACCAGAATATAATCAT